AACCTCTCTCACTTTCCCAACGCACTAGGTCTCTGCACACGCCTTATGTCTGTCTGGACACCCCCTCTCCACCCACCCTTACATGTTGAGTTCCATCAGTCCTTCAGATTTAATGTCTGTCTCTGCAGAGCAATTGCCCACCCACACTGGACTGCTCCTCACAAACCTTGACCCCAAAACAAACTGAGTGAAATTACCCTGAAGAGGAGCTACCTTCTTTTTCACGGCCTAGGCCCAGGCGGGCCCTCTTGCCTGAATGCTGCCCACCCTGTCTGCCTACACAGCACCTACCTGCCTTTGCCCAGGCTGGCCCTCTTGCCTGAACACTGTCCACCCTGTCTGCCTACACAGCACCTACCTGCCTTTGAAGGGCCCAGGGATTATGACCTCTTGAAAACTTTGCCTGAACTTTTTCCCATCCCCTCCCTCCTTTCCTTTGGGATTGAATGAATGAATTGCCCCTCTTCATGTTTCCTTAACATCTCACCCACGGTATTTTCAAACTAATGTAGGGGCTTGTGTCCTTCCCCCTCCTCTAACCAGGCAGCGATAGGGTCTGTGTGGTCTCCTCTGTCTTCCTCCAATCCCCGTGGAGCCCTGTGTCTACACCTAGTCCCTTCCTGGGTGCTGATTCTTGTCTGTTTTGCTTTCTGTGATTTGTTCTTGATGAAGAGATGTCTATATGGAGTTCCCACCCCTGTAAAGTGTTAACATGGTTACATAAAGAGCATGGGCACTATGCAGGGGGTTCTCTGCCCTTGCAAAAGGGAGGTGCATTAAGTATAGTAAGGGTGGTATTATCATAGTGAATGTTACGGCCAGTGCAATTAAACCTTTGTCAAACAGCCTGCCTTGGGCTCCAGATGAGAACATTGTTGAAACGCCTCCCAACTCAGGACTAGGAGCTGCTGAAATGGGCAATTACTGCAGTGAACAATCCATTACTTGCACTGTCAACAGTATTTTTCTCTCTCTAAATGCAGAACAAAGTGGGAAATGCTGTGGGAACCTAGCGGCATTTAATGTACTGATACGCCTTGGTAGGAGCCATTCTTTAACCTGGCCACGACAACAGCACAATGGCATACGGACCAGCATTAGGTTAGAGCACTGGGGGAGCCACTTAGCCATCCCATGTCTCACTCTCCTCACATGCAAAAAGAAACCGATAGAAGAGAATGCTTGTCACACCATCGCGGTTGCTATGGTGATGGACTGTGCACAGTGTTATGCTGCCCCGAGCCAAACCAATTTCTTTTGATAGTGCTTGTCATTGCATGCAGGAGTAACGACCGGCAGGGCTTCATTTTCTTTTTGAATTGGGAAAGCCTCTAGTGAGGCTTGGTGTGGAAAGGCCATTATTCTGGCTACTTGGTGCAGATAACCCATGACTGCTGTGCCAACAGGGCCACTCAGCATAGACGGGCTTCTGGCACGCTGGCTGGGCTGAATGAATGGTGAGATAGTGGTAACCAGAAGAATGGTAGCCCCCTTTAGTTACTATTTTCGAGTTCAACATCTTGGAATGCCAACCCGTCTGGGAGCTCAGCTGAAAATGATTAGCCAGACACAACAGCTGTATCTCTAACGTGAGGGTACCAAGGGACTCTCAGGATAACGCTGTACACGTTAGTGTAAGTGTGCGTGATTGGGGGGGTAGAGAAAGGGATGAGGGGTCTGGGAGAAGGTGCGATGGCTGCAGAGTACTTGCGATGTACACAGCTGTACTTTCAGGTTGCCACAGGCTAAGGCTGTAAAATATAGGCTGGAATTTTGGCTAATATAAGCAAACATGGATATCCACGGAGACTTGTGGATAGTTACAGGTTTCTCTGGGCCACTGGAGGTGGGCTTAGGGTCTTTTCAACAGGGTAGTGCCTAGAAAACCTTGCTTGGCGCCGGTTCTGCTTCTTGGATTCTGTGGTGGTTTGAAAGAAAATGCCCCCCCCCAAAGGGAGTAGCACTATTAGGAGGTGTGGCTTTATGAGAGTTAGGTATGGCCTTGTTAGAGGAAGTGTATCACTGTGGAGGTGGCCTTCGAGGTTTCATATATGCTCAAGTAATGCCTAGTGTCTCAGTTCACTTCCTGTTGCCTGCCAATCAAGATGTAGGACTCTGAGCTCCAGTGCCATGTCTGTCTGACTGCAGGCTGCCATACCCCACCATGATGGTAATGGATTAACCCTCTGAAAATGTAAGCCACCCCAATTAAATGATTTTTCTAAGAGTTGCTGTGGTCATGGTGCCTCTTCACAGCAGTAGAAAGCCTAACTAAGACAGACACCATCATAAAATTCACCAAGAACTCTGGACTCACTGATGATGTTGGATAGCAGGTATTCTTGTCTACCCTATTTCAACAATGTACCCACTAAGGACACTAGGTACCACTAGTGATGGTGCATTAGAGTTCTGTCCTGTTGTTCCTTAAAACCTGAATATTGAATCATTCCTTTCACCCCCAAAGGGGATCTACATGACTCCTTGTGTTTTCTTTTCTCAGGGAAAGCATGTACAGGAACATGTATCCCCAGTGAGTCAAGTGTCTCTTCCCCACTAACAGAAGCTTGGGCCTGTGAGTATGTTTGTGAGACAGAGAAAGAGAAAGGGAGTGAGTGAGAGACAGAGATATCTTTAATATAGGATATCACTCTCAAATTGGAATATTTTTCCAAGCAGCTAGCACACCCAGGGTTCACCATGTCTGCTGCATCTCTCAAAGCTACATGTCTGAACCTGGATTGCCAACTTCCCACAAGTCACTTCCTCTGGGCCGGGAAGGATGCTGTCACACTCCCAAAGTAAGCAGTTTCAGAATCTGGACTCTGCACTTGCTCCCTCCAGCTCCTCAGGAGTTGCTCACTGCCCTCTGCCCCCGCTGCAGGAGGGGTCAGACCCCTTGCAGCTGCTTACCATCTGTCTCTGGTTGGCTCCTGTCTTAGGCCCTGGCTCCACACACCAGGTCTCTTCCTTGTGTCATGGTGGCCTTTGGTAAAATGTTATACCCTGGTTTAAAGTCTCTCAGATCACCTGCACAGGCTTCAAATCCCATGCTTCTTAGAACATTTAGTAATGATTTTTGTTGTCTTTTCCCTTTGCATGTGTTAGACATTCTTATCCTCTACATAGGCCGAGAGTTGTTGAGTGCATATTAATAGCATCTACACACAATCATCTGAGACAGTGAGCACGCCCTATCTTCCCATTTTACCAAAGGAAAAGTTGAGGCTCTAGTGATGGTGGCAGCTCCAGAATTTGAGAGCAGGTCTATCTGCTGTTCAAAACGCCTGCCTTCAACTAGGCTGTTGCATACTCTGCAGTTATCTTTTATTAAGAGGGAACTATCTCAAGACCTGCTTTGTTTACCTCAAACCACACAGTTAGTACTGATTTTTTCTATCCACTCATGCTTATGATACCTACTTTATAAAGTAGACACATGATGGGATTGACAACAGTAACTAGTAATAACATACACCAGTTATTCCAACTACCAAAGTAGGTTATGTGAATGTGGTTCTCTATCTCCCTACCCCTCTCATTATACCATCCTTGCCCGGCTCGTTGACCATGGACATCCGTAACCATGTGAGAGGGAAGAAAACGGTTCTCGCAGGCATTTGCATGAAGACGCTATCGCCCATGTTTCCTTTGATCATCCCTCTCCCTTCACCTCCAGCATGTCCTTCTTCCTTCCGCTGTTTGAATTCTTGGCTGTTCGTTTTCCCTGTTCCCATCCTTTCCCACATGTCCCGCCTTGACCTTGCCTCCAACAGAACCCACAACCTCCCACCGAGATGGCATCAGTTCTCTGAGGGACAGCTTGTTAATCTGCCAGTTAGTGGGTGAGAACCCAAGAGTAGGGATGGCATCCTGTCTAGCGAGCAGACGTGATGACTGCAATGCTCTCAGAATGACCCACATTGAATTCAGACTGCAAGGACTTGCCAGTCCTCCTTGCCCCATGTAAGTAAGCCTTTCTGATCAAGATCAAGTGGTCCATGGAAGTCCTAAGAGAATATCAAGCCAATGCTTTAGTTAAAGAATGCCCAGAGGTCAAGCTGAGCAGTAGGGTAGCCTTGGCTCAGGTCCTGTGGGTGGGTGAATGGACCATGAGTTTTGACAAAGTCCCTCCCCCAACACACTGAATCCCATCAGTAAAGACTGGAGAAAATACAAGCCCAGGTTGGTATGGTCTCACATCTCACACACAGGGAGCTGCTTTCTGGAGCCCTCTAGTGACCATGGCCTGGGCAGCTCATCTACAAATGCTATATCTCAGCTCCCAAGAACTCAGGCTTTTTCCTCATCTGTACTTTGAGGAAAAGAGAGTTTCTTGGATGGTGGGGAAAGGGGGGGGGATAGAAACATTGGTTACACCCTCTCCCTTTGTGTTATTTTTACTGGGGAACAGCAATGTCACTGGCTCTGCAGGGCCACGATGATGTGGCCTCCCGAAAGCATGCTGCCATTCACACAGTTGTCCTAGCCCCATGCTAAGCTTCCAAGTAGTGTCATTTATTTTCTTTCTCTCTTTTCAGTCTGCATATGGTTTCTTTTCCTCTCATACCACCTCAGAGCAGACTGGCTGGCCCTACGGGTTGATGATGCTATTCACAATATGCTTTAGAAAAGAGCTTTTCTGGCCAGCACTTCTCATCCAACCTCTCCTGTAAGATACTGCCTTCCAGTACACCTTAATATGGCCCAACATCCATGGGCAGCTTACCATCAGGAAAGGTATTGGGAGACACTTTGCCACCCGTGCTCACCCATGGCATCTTCTTGCATGCCACAAGACAGTGTGCAAGTGTCTGCGAATCCTCTGTGCCCATTCACCCGCCAGGCACTGGAGGATGGGTACACATACTAGAGATCAGAGATTCCAGGTTATGGGAAGCAAACCTGACTCTCTCCACACGCTGGCTTGTGAGAGCCCCTGCCCAAAAGAGATCTCATGCTCTGCATCCCAGGTGTCCCCTGGGAGTTTGTGTCCATACCTGTTGGGATGGTGGAACCCCCTGCTTGGCTGGCAGTTGGTTGAGTGGAGTGCCGGAGGCAGCTACCAGTTGGTAGGGAGGTGGCTGGGTGCTGCATATGATCCTGTAGTGTGGTGAGAGGCAGAACAGGCCTGGTGGCAGTGGCTGGGCTGCTCAAACTGCCACCTCCAGGGTGCATAATGGTGGCCATCCCCTTGGCCAGTGGAGACCCTCCGAGTACATTATTCCAGGGTGACCCAGCCCCTCCTCCAGGAACCCTGGGGAAATAAACAGAACCAAGTGAGTGAGTGGGCTCAGGTAAATTCAGGCCATGTGCCATGGCAAAAACCAGCTCTGACCTACAGGCTCTGAGAGGTCAAGGTCAAGTGGTCCATACAAGTCCCAAGAGAATATCAAGCCAATGCTTTAGTTAAAGAATGCCCAGAGGTCAAGCTGAGCAGTAGGGTAGCCTTGTCTGTGCTTGGTGTTTCCTAACCAAGAGCTTTGGGCTTCTAAACATACTTAGAAAGACAGTGGACTCATGTATCCCAAGACTGGTACTTTTGGAGCATGGTAGAACATGATGGTAGCTTCTCCTAGACATGCCTCTATCTTATGTCTGCTAGCCACTGAATATGGGCATAGGAGCAATGCTATTACCCCCTGAAAACACCAGGGAACTTGCAGTTTTATACCTGAGACAGACACTTTCACCCCAAAGCTCCCAGATGGAAGCCCTCTACGTAAGATGAGCACAGCAGCTTTGGAAATGGCGTTCTAACTCTCTCTACACATGCATTTGCCTTGGCTCTGAGGATGGCATTTGGAGCTCACGGGTTTCTGTGGGTTGTGATGAAGGGGGATTAAAATGTGCCAGGAGGCAAGGTCCAATTCCCATCCCTTTAGAATTTCTCTCTTGTGACAGCGGAAGGCATGATGCCAACGGGTCAGTCTGTATCATGCGTTTTAACCACTGTTGTAACCCCATGCCCAATCTTTGCAAACCAAACAGATGAGACTCAAAGTATGGGTCTTGTATTTATAAGGCTATGTTAACAAGGCTGAAGAAGGCAACGAACTGTGCACATGCCTCCTGCGGCAGCTGAGACCCTTCTCTCTTGGTAGCAGCAGTCAGGCTAGGCATGCTCCAGCCAGCCCACATTTCCTTACTGCAAGCTCATGCTTATCTTACAAGTACCCTGGTAGCCCAGGCCAGACTTTCCTTTCGTTGTGAAAGCAAGCAAGGAAACAAACAGACCCCAAACAATGAGAAAGAGCCGCTCGAATGTCCTTTATAGGTGACAGCTGTAAAACAGCTCAAGTGTGTCCTCTCAGGCTCAGACTACTTTGGCAACTTTGGTTCTGCACACGGAGACCTCTGACACCTGTCCTGAGGTTTCTGCAGGGTGGTTTTGGCAGTTTTCTAATTTGCAGCGAGGATGAGAGATGCTGTCAGTCTTGGGGCAGAGCCGTGAGGACAGCCCTCTGCCTCTCTAAATAAGACCAAAGTCGGCCTTTGTACATCGGGGTGTGTGGTGAGCCTGGTGGAGAAGCCCATGCCTCTGAGACACTGAGTGGGGACTCCTGGCAATTCCTCTTCTTGAGGAACTGCAGAGGACACCAAGAACTCCCAGAGTTAGACCTGTCAGGTCTGTCTGCTTTTTGTTCTCCTTGGCTCTGGGATACTTCTTAAAAAAACAAAACACAACAAAAACCATACAATACACCTAGTCGAAGACAGATGGGCTCAAGGGAAGTGGGAGCAACTCGTGAGGTACCCAGACTGAAGTGGCTCAGGTTGTCCAAAGAATTCTAGTTTCATTCCATCTAAATCTTCCCATGGCAAACTTACGGCAGGATGTGCACAGTCCTAATATCAGAATTTAATCAGAGCTACCAGATTTCATTGATTTATTCAGCCCGCACTTACTGAGCACTCTGTATATATGTAAATGGCATTCAATGAGCCCGGTGTGCAAAACTGGAAACAGTTGCTGTGTCAAGGCCAGCAGGCTCTGCACACTTTTTCATGACCCATAATGAGCAGCAGCACCCACAGGCTTCAGACAGGGACATAGGATAAGGCTTTCCTTAGCGAGTAGACTTAAGACCGAGTTCCCAAAAGCTACGGCAAGTTTCATTAGGAAGTAGAAGAGGTGAGGAGACAACACTCTCCGTGTGTGTGAGGAATCACTCCAGCTGGGCACGTTCCCTCCTTCTCTGTCTGAGGACCCCAGGCAGGAGCTTTGCCTGTATTTAGTAGGGACACATCAGAAGCACTGGTCCAGTTGCTCTGCACTAGTAAGGAGTCCCCAAGAAGCTGGCTGGGAGCTGGTGTCCTAAGCAGCCATCCCTCTGTCCATGCAGCATGATTTAGCGTACAGGAGTTTCTGGAAGGCCCCAAGCTTGCTCCTCGTGCTCCTTCCTGCAGATGGCTCCCCAAGTGAAGGATCTCTCACCATGTACCTTCATTGTCTATATAACCCTCTTGCTCCAAGACCTCAGGACAGCCCTTCCCCTCAGGCCTCTGAGCATCCTCCATGAAGCCCTGGCTGCAGGCTACCCGTGCAACCTAAGCCACAACACCAGCAACATATGTGTCCTCCCAGAAACTTTCTGAAGCCACGTAGACGGGCAGGCATCAGAATGGCATTTTTTTCAGTCTTCTTCCAAAGATACTTCACTAGTGTTGACACGGGCTGTTTTAAGGGACTGCTGAGAGTTATATCAAACAGCCAATCAGTGGACCTCACAACATAATGGAAATGCTAGAAATGCACAAGGAGGGGATTTTCTAAAAGAAAAATTACTTATTAATAATTGTTAATTTAAGGCATATTACTTTATATGGTTGTGTGTGTTTTACATATATATGTATACATATTTGCATTCTCTGCTCTTACTACAAATATATATGTGACGTACATATATCATACATGTGTACACATGTTATGCTCACATAGTACAAATGCATGCATACATGCTATCCCTATACTGCATGTATGCATATGTACATGATACCTATACCATGCACTCATATGCCAGACACACTACATATAGTTATATGCACTTACTATATACATATCAAATTCTACATACATGTACACATTGTGCACATGTGTGTGCACACAGCAACATGGGGCACACGCTTTGATGCCTATAGAGATATTATAACTGTACTGTGAGCATGCATATGACCCATTCTCATTGCATACACACATATATAAGTACCTACATGAGCATGTATACTTGATAATATCCTGCACACATTGTCTATACATGCACACACGCTGGCCTCGTTTACAAGCTTGTACCCTGATGACCTTCCCAACCCACCCCCCAACTCAGCTGCTGTTGCTCACTCTAGCTCCTGCTCCCATACTTATCCCTTGGGTAGCCAGTGTTCACTGAGAAAGTCTAGCAACCCAAGCTTGGCAGAGGAGCCCCTCCCCAAAGTAACGCAAATGTCCCCACTGCCTCTGGAATGTGTAACCGGGGACTAGTCTACAGTGTGGCCTCCAGGGTTTCTACAGCATCAGGGACGTGTAGGCCTTATTCCCTTCTTGACCAGGTTTCCAGGCTCTCACCTGGAGACGTGTGTCACGTAGTTCCCAGGGAACACCCCTGAGGCCCCGGTTTTTAGTGACGCCCCCTTGAACCAGCCGTCCTGACACTTCTCCAGCACACGGTACATCTCACCCTTGCGCAACTCGAGCTCATCGTTCTTCTGGGGCTTGTACGCATAGAGAGCCAGGTACCTGTGAACAGAGGACAAGGCTCAGTGGACATCTTTGGGGTACATATTGGATGACAGAGGTGGCACAGGACAGACAGAACCCCACTTAAAGAGTAGCTGGTATTTGCAGGGCGCTATGGCTATACTTCACAGAGAGTTCACATTACCCTTAACCAGACTCAATCCTACCACAAACCCATGAAGTGGAGGAAGAAAACAAATGTGCTCCTAGCTATTTCTTGTGGACTTGACGGGGCACAATACTGCCCTGGTCCACTGAATGGCCAGGCGATATGTGGGTGGAGTGAGGGGTTTTTATTTTGTGTCACCAAAGTGAAGAAGTGTCACCGAAGTGATGAGGCAGAGTGATGCCCAGTTTCCAGGACATCTGTATCCTGGGCCTGGTCTCCGGACCTCACAATGTTTTTTTCCCCTTTCCCCTAAGCTTTCTACAATCTGGTATCTGAGCAAGAGGAACCTTAGGGATAGTTGAGTAAACTAGCTGGGTCTGGGCTTGTTCCAGTTTAGCTGGGCCTGGTTTTCCTGCAGGTTTCTCTAGTTAGCCTGAGCTAGAAGAGAACTCTCTAAGCAACCTTCCAGAAAAGGCGGCTTCTGCACACTGTTAGCAGCATTTCCACTGTTACTAGTAATTACATGTCTCCTCTTTTTATAAGCCTTGTTTGCAGACAAGGCTGAAGAAACTTCAACCCTTTTGTTGATACACTAAGAATGTGTGCATCTCTTCCTTGCAACACGAGTGAGCACAGAATAATCTGGCAGAAGGGCTCCCCCACCCCCACCCCTCCTACAGTCCAGGGAACAGCGGATTTGACTCTTAGAGGAATCTGCATCAGATAATTGCTTGCAGTACCAGCCATGAAAGTGAGGGTCCCATGGAGACAAAGGTCTTTCCATCTTCTGATCAAATCTGTCCTCCCTCTGCAACCTGATGATCTGTAAGCATGCTGGTTCTACTCAGTGGGGGTTCAGGGTCCCCTGTTAATATGGTTCAACCCCTAGGATAAAAGCTAGGAACACCAATGCTCCCCTGGGTTTCTGAGGGCAAGCAGCCATCAGGAGAGGATCCTCCTCCCCAGGGACTTGTAGATTCAGTGTCCACCCCATGCCTGTGACAGATGAGAAAGTCAGGATGTGATCTTGTCCTTAATGGCCAGAGGGGAAATATTACGAACAAGTAAGCACAGCGGACTGCATTTGGACACCGTGCTGGCTAGTTTTATGTCAATTCATACATGCTAGAGTTACCCGAAAGGAGGGAACCTCAATTGAAAAATAATGCCTCCATATGATATGGCTATAGGGCATTTTCTTAGTGATTGATGTGGATGGGAGGCATCCCATCGTGGGTGGTACCACCCCAGGGGAGCAAGCCAGTAAGCAGCATTCTGCAATGGACTTTGCATCAGCTCCTGCATCCAGGCTTGAAACATGAAAAATAAAAGACCCAGAGACAGATATTGGGGTTCAAGCTTCAAACATTAGAAATGCCAAGTAGCGAGCAACTAGCTCTTACCACTACCTCAGGCTGAATGGGCTGATCCTGCTGCCTCTCCCAAGTGTGGCTGGAGAATGCTGAACTGAATGTCTTCCTATCCTCCATGTGGCAGAAGAATGAATGCCTGATTATGAGACCTTGCTCCTGTGTCATATACCTCCTTAATGCTGGGATGAAAGGCTGGTGATCCCAGGTGCTGAGGTCATCTTTGTGTGAGCTGTTTCTTTTTAGGACTGGATCAATCTTGGGCTCACAGAGATTCATCCATCTACCTCTTAATCCTGAGTCCTAGGATTAAAGGCATGTACCACTACCCCCAAAGCTTGTGGCTGCTGGGATTAAAGATGTCTGCCTGGCTTCTATAGCTTGTGGCTGGCTTTGCTTTCTGAATCCTCAGGCAAGCTTTAATAAATCATAAATAATTTATCACCATACAGTCTCCTGCCCTCACTGCTTTTGATGATGAACTGTGAGTGAATTCAACCCTCCCCCCCCCAAGTTGCTGTGGTGTTTCACCACAGGAATAGTTACCCTAACTACGGCACTCATCAAGTCCTAGGCATGCCGTACGTACATGGGTGGGGGTGATTTCCTCATAATGAGTGTTGAGGGACAAAACGGGAACAGAGATGGCCACGGTGGAGGACCATGTAAGACAGACACATGATGGGAGTCTGCTTTCAAGGAAACATTAAGTGTAATCCTGATCAAGCTGTCCTCCTTCAGTCCCTATATGATGTCAGCTCAGTTTCCGACTTTGGCCACAGCAGAAAGCTAAGAAGGGTGACTGATGGCTCCTTGGAGTTGTGTGGGTCTCTAGACAGCTCAAACCCCACCAGGTTTACAGATGCCCTTGGCTATCACAGAAGTTGCTCAGGGGCTCACCTGCTACCTGTAGGAGGCAAGGCCCAAGCTATGCTTCCCTATTTAAAAAGGCTTGATGGCACGGAAAACAAAAATAAATAAATAAATAATTAAAATAAAAAGGCTTGATATCCCAGTTCTGTTCATCTCGTTGCTAGTGCTGTGCAGAGCTTGGTGGGTACAGAGGCGAATTGTGGCCCCATAACCTGTTCTTTGTCCGAGAACTGTGTCTGCGGCCAGGCCAAATATCTGGTTGCTGTTGTCTTTTGGGTACACCTGCATAAGGCATGGGCTCCTAGGGTTTCGTGTGTGCCCACATGGCCTCGGGTCACTGGACATCAAACATGTCTGTGAGAAAGCATCACAACTCCCCCAGGCACTGCTGCCAGGCCTCTCCGCAGGGTTCGCTCGAGCGTCAGGAAACCCTGTCCTGTGTGGCTCTTTCCATCCTCGGAGGCTCTCAGATGGGGGGTCTTGGGCTTCCTCTTTACTTCTTTCCCTCCCTTCTCTCCTGGTCTCCTCGCCTCGTTCCTAGGTGGTCTGAGGGAACTGGAGCAGCTGTGTTCTCTTGGCACAGAGGACTCCCCTAGCAGAATGCAGCTGCTGCTAACATTAGGTCATGCTCACCTCATGACGGAGCTAAGTGCAAGTTTGGAGACCTGTACTCACAGGGTCCTGGAGGAATGGGAGAAGCAAACCTTGCTCGGGGTTGGGGGGCAGGGCTCCTGGGGTTCAGTGAAAGAATCACACAGGCTCCTCTTGCCTCAGGATGCCTTTGCTATCATCTACCTGCAGCATTAATCCCTAAACCCATCACGTCATGTGTTCCATCAGGACACAGAGTTTTAATGGCTGGTTCAATGCTTTCTTCTCCCTACCAGGCATGTGGTACACTGTCAACAAATACCTGTTAAAGTAAAACAGGAATCCTGCTTTGGAGCTACGACCGAGATTCCTTTGCACGTGTGCATTGTAGGTGTGGTGAGCCTGGGCATGTGTGAGAAGGCAGAGCTATGAATAAGAAAGGCCAGCTTTAGCCCACAGGGCGCCTCCTGCATCAGGATGGAGCTATCTCTGGTCACTTACCTGCTGAGTAAGGGGCCTCTCAAAGGGGACAAGAGTCCAGCAGCCTCGACACTGTGTAATCTGAGCGTGGTGAACGGTATTCAGATAGCATTTCTTATCACATCTGGGAAGTCCCTGCATTACCAAATGTGAGCTGCTGTGATAAATGGCCACCAAACCCTGAAGGGTCTTAGAGGAAAAGCTGTCGAATAGCTGAAGGCCATTTCCTTTCTGAGATTATCTTTTTACTCAGTATTTTAGGATCCCTTATATGATTTAGAGGGACAAGGACTTCGCAGTTATTTCCCAGCATATGAAGGGAGTTTGTATATTTTCCTACACACATTGAAGAATTGTTTATCAGTGGCTTCAAGTCATCTTCAGACCTTTAAAACCAAAAAATGCCTCTGTCCACATTTCATGTTTACCTAGAACACAGGTGTGCTTCCTAATGAGATAATAAGGCAGGGAAATGGGAAACTAAAAGATAAACATGACTGTACATTTGCTGCCTATTTGCCTATCTGGCGCTGAGCCTGCAGGCACCACCACGGAACAGAGTCCCAGCTTAATGCCCTCTCCTTCTCTTTCTTCAGTACGGAAGCTGCCAAGAGACGCATCATTTAGGTTTTCAGAAATATAGATTTGTATTTCATGCTGCATTAAGCCTCTGCACATAGGGCATATTGCTTCTTAGGAGTGGGATGCCCGGGGAAATGTATGCATTGCGTGCTCAGTCATACAGGCAGCATGGAGTGCTGATGCCCAGCAGGAGAGACATGTCCTTCCCAGGTGCTGCAGACCCGAGGACCTGCCTGTGTCCTTCCCAGGTGCTGCAGACCCGAGGACCTGCCTGTGTCCTTCCAAGGTACTGCAGACCTGAGGACCTGCCTGTGTCCTTCCAAGGTGCTGCAGACCCGAGGACCTGCCTGCCTCGCTTCTTGTAGCACAACCATAAGCTTTGACTTAATTTGAGATCTTATTGACCAGGTGTCAGCCTTGATAAGGCCTCACCACAGGACCACTGGTGAGATAGGGCAAGGGAAGAAGACAGGGACCTAGTGTCTGCTGTATGCTAGACACAAGGACTCACATAGGCTCCGCATGGGCCTGGGGTTTCATAGCTCGGGAAGCCAAGGCTGGAAAAGTCTGAGACTCTGCCTCTGTTTTTGTGTGTTCAGAGTCAGGGACAGGCATGCAATTGATTTAGAGGCTTAGCATGGCCCAAGGGTGGGGCCAGACACCGTGAGAACCTCAAGCCTGGGTGAGCATGGCTTGGGTCAGGCCTAGCTCTGGAATCAGGCATACCACCTGTCAGCTCTGAGTGCAGGCCTGCAAGGCTTGCCGAACAGGGGAGTGCCATTTGGATTGCAGCAGGGCACTGATGTGAGTGGCCTTTTAAACTGCACACCTGCACGTGCCTCACCCCTCCCCCCCCCCTCTCTCTCTCTCTGTGTATGTATGTATGTACATGTACTGTGTTGGCAGAGACTAGAGGTGTCAGAGTCCCTGGTGTTGGAGTTACAGACAATTATGAGCCACCCCTTGTGGGTGCTGGGAGCCACACTTAGTTCCTC